TCAATTGGGACATTCACAACAAAAAAAATAGGCCTACACTTTTTGTATACATATAATAATAATAATAATAATAATAATAATAATAATAATAATAAAGAAAATTCAAATCGGAAAAACTGTTCTGGCTGCTATATGGGCTCAGTGCTAAAAAATATTTTCTACAGATAACCAAATTACAAGCAATAGCAGAAAATAAATACAAAGACACAAGTTCAATAAACAGTGCTTTTCAGGTTTTAAATAAATTTTCAGGTACGCTACAGAAATGTAATAATCAAATGTAAAATAAGTGCATAGTCTCAAATGTATAAATTAAATATAGATTCATCATTTTTGATGATTTTGAAGTAATTTTGTCTGTATTTATTCATCCATGCACAAAAAAGCGGAAGATAGCTCAATTAAGTATTCGCGCGGTGTAGACGCACGCGGCTGTCTGTGTCTGTGTGTGCGTGTGCTTCAGATGTGTGTGCAGAAAACTTCTCACACAGCGCTCGACTGTTCAGCCAACAATCCCGAGCGTCTTTTACGCTCACCTTGTGCCTTCGGGCAGTCCTTATATCGAGTCCTGATACGTGAGTCTGAGCGAGAATGCACGCGTTGGCGGTAATGCTTAGATGGACATTAGTCCTATGTGAAAATGTGGACAGTGCCAAAACAATTTATACTATTTAAACTACAGATATCGATATTTTACGTGTGGCATCGATGCATCGTATCGTCAGACATCATATCGATGTATCGATCCATATCGATAAATCGTTACACCCTTATATATACAGTGGGTACGGAAAGTATTCAGACCCCCTTAAATTTTTCACTCTTTGTTATATTGCAGCCATTTGCTAAAATCATTTAAGTAAATTTTTTTTCCTCATTAATGTACACACAGCACCCCATATTGACAGAAAAACACAGAATTGTTGACATTTTTGCAGCGTGAGTCTGAGCGAGAATGCACGCGTTGGCGGTAATGCTTAGATGGACATTAGTCCTATGTGAAAATGTGGACAGTGCCAAAACAATTTATACTATTTAAACTACAGATATCGATATTTTACGTGTGGCATCGATGCATTGTATCGTCAGACATCATATCGATGTATCGATCCATATCGATAAATCGTTACACCCTTATATATATATATATTTTTTTATACATTTAATATTTTAAATGAATTAACAATATAAAATAGATTTCCTCTTTATATTGTCTATAAAGTATTATTACATTTTATTTAATAGATTTATTAGTTCAGTGCACAATGTGCTCTTGTATATTTAATGGACAGTGTTAATAATAATAATAATAATAGTAATAATGTTAGTTTATTTAGTTTTAGTTATTTTAGTACTTCTAGAGAAATGTTGACTTGGCAACTAGCTGAAATAAAATAAAACAAAATAAAATAAATATTGTATTTTGTTTTATTTTTCAGTGAAAGTTTGCTTTATTTCAAGTAACAAAACTATAACGTGAACAATTAATCCATGCACGTGTCTTTTTTAAAGAGAAAATACATTTTTTAAACAGAAATTAAAAACTTAAAATGACTAAAACTGAAATAAAAAATAAGGCTAAACAGAAATACAATCAAAATTTAAATTAAATTTAAAAAATGTATTAAATAATTAAATTAAAATGAAAAGTAATTAAAATAAAATTAATAAAAGTGAAATCACATACAAAATTATTAATAAATAAAATTAAAACTATAAAAAAGCCAAATCAAAATATTAATAAAAACCATAACAGTATCTCAAATGATCCTAAACGAACTCTGATACAGACGTGACGGGTGGAGGATGTTGAACTAAACGACATAAAACACCAAAACAGCGTCGTCATATAAAGCCGTCAGCGTTATAAGGTCAAACTAAAGCAATCAGCTCACGAAGTTTCCTCAGTTTGAGAGAGTTCTGCACGCTTCGCTCTCCTCCTCTGAGCTCAGATTGATTTATTTCACGAGGGCTTTATAAATATAATCCTCACCTGAGAACGGCCCGAAGCTTTGATGATCTGAATAAAAACCGTCCCTCTGGTGGAGAAGCCACTAATTTCACATTCGCAGCTCTGAAGCGGAGTGAAATGGAAATGTGTGTCCAAGGAGAGATGGAGCTGGGACTTCATTTAAATAACTATTGTGCCTGCCGATGCCACCAGCTGCATTATATAATGTAATGATATCTTTACCAACTCCCGCTGCTGCATAATGAGAGTCAGCAGACACAGGCCTGAAGAAAGTTTAGACAGAGATTCACTTCAGATGCAGTGCAAAAACAAATGATTCCTTTGAATCTTTCAAATGATTCGTAATGCTTCATGACTCATGCAGTCTGTAGCATGCATACGTGGTGTAATCTGCACTAGATTTCTATGCATGTAATACCTGGATGACCCTTATTGTGAACTAAAACTCAAATTATAAAAAAAATAATAATAATAATATTCATTGAAATAAAATAAAATGTGTTATATTAAAAACATCAAAAACATAATTGAAGTTTTAAACAGAAAACATAAAAATAAAACCTTCTAATAAAAATATTCTATCATGTAAAAATATTTTTTCAAATATTAATAAACGTAAAAATAAGTTAATAAACTTAAACTCGAAAAACTTAAAAAATTTGAAAAGCAAAATTAACTTCAAGCTGAAGTACTAAAATTAATAAAACTAAATTGAACAAAATAAAGCTAAATAGAAATTACAAAAAAACTAATACAAAAGACAAAAGCACATAATAAAATTACTAAACCTTAAAATACATTTATAATGAAAGCTACAAACATAAATGTAAAGTATTAATATTTCACCAAAGCACTGAAATCACTAAAAGTAAAGCTGAAATAAAAATAAATTAGAAAGTTTAGATCTATATTTCTACAAAAAATAAATAAATAACAATACAAGGGACAAAAGCACATAATAAAATGACTAAAATTAAAAAAAAAATTAAAACTAAAAATATAAATACAAAAGCTAATTCAAAATATACAATAGTATATAAAATAGAAATACTTAAAAATTACAAATATAATACTAAAATAACAGTTTTGACGTAAAAAAAAACTGTGGCTCATATGTTCATAAACAACACAACATGTACAAAATACATGTTACATATTTATAAACAACTTTTGGACTTTTAAGGACTTTAATATATAATATTTATTTTAAAATCGCAATATTGTAATCATTATAATATTGTAATCATTATATTACATTATATATGATATTATATTAAAATGCATATATTATATTATATTAAAATGCACTGAATAATTAAAAAATAAATAATAACTTAAAATTAAAAACTTTTAGACTTTGTTATATTTTTTATAATATAATTCCAATATTATAATACTTATTATTATATAATATAACAAAGTTAAAATATAGATAATTTAATCATATATTAAAAAATTAAAATTAAGTCCAGATCAAATGTTAGATGTAATTTAACTGCATTTTAGGTTCCTGATGTCCTAGTTTGTGTCTGCAGAAGACGCTGGTGAGGAAAAATGGGGCAAAAAAAAAAAAAAAGCAAGAATATCATTACCTAATAATTTCCATGCAGGCAATTACAGCAGCTCTTTTGCTGCGCCGCTGAGCTGAAGATAACTTTCTCTCATTAGCATGCTAATGTGCAAACAGCAGGGTGTGTTGGATCTTCAACATTTTACGACTCACCTCATTACACATTAATGAGATTTAAAAGTGAAGGCAAAATAAAAATAACTTGTCTTTGTGAAGTCGGAGGGAGACGTTTGAATCAAAGACGCTCATTACTACGGGTGACCCCCAAATAGTCGACGATGCGATGCTTTGATAGGAGAAACCTGATTCGACTATTAATCTCAAAATCGAATATTCGCGGAGGTGTTATGAAACGAGGATCATGCCACTTTGGCTATATAGGGGCGCTCAAATATCTGATTTCACATAGAACTACGGGTTTTCTCCCAATAAGTTAATATGCAGCCTATTAATAACGCTGTAAATAAGAATCTGAAAAGAAAGAACTATTTTAACGTGCGTGAATAAATCCAGCCACCTCTATAGATTTAAGTTTCACTTTCTATAATCCGTGACCGACAGAGGAGCATCTCGGCGACAGGGATTTAAATCTTTAACAAGACTCAACCTGACACAGACGGAGTGAAAGACTGGATTTGTTCGATCGGGTAGGGTACAAGTGATTTCAAAACATTTCAGCCGGTTTATATATATATCGTGTATATATTATTTATCTCGTAAAATATGCATTTGGTCGAGTTGCGCTGCAGTAAAGCGCTTCATTGTAGCACTACGCTGATTATATCTTCAGCACGCAGCGCGAGCAGGACAAACAACAATGCAGAATATTATTAATAACTATGACTGGGACTGTCATATACATAACATTATAATCAGAACACTATTATAATAAAACGTTTAGTTGCCGTGTTTCTGCACGTTGTTCATTCAGAGCCGCGCAGACACGTTCATGTGCATTCGGAGCATTTTGTGCAGAGAGCCTGTAAGTCGTAATATTAACGTTATGTTGTATAAATAACGAAGCGTATTCTATATGAGATAAATGACGAGTTAAATCCCATTGATTAAAAACCTGCTGCTTCATTCGACTGGTCATCTTCAGCGCGCGCAGCTCAAAACAGAAATGCAGAGCATTAATAACTACTGTCATATACACAACGTTATAATGAGAGCACTATTGTAAAAAATGTTGTGAATTCTTAGGGTTTCGCTGAGGTTTAATGTTAACTAACTTTTAATCAAAACATAAAACGTTATTTTTGTATCTGCGAGGCGTCCGTTACACATTTTCACTGTGTGTTAACGTCACTGTCGAATGTCTGACTCGACTCTTGGTAATGTATTTTGCCCCGCCCCCAAAACATATGATTCGACTATCAGCAAGATTCAAAAACTCTGATTCGATTATGTGAATCCTTAGTCGGGTGAGTCGCTTCAAACGCAACGCTTCACTCTTACCTGGGTGAGGTGAATGACGCCCTGAGACGTCACCAAACAACCCATGAAGCCCACGAACTGCAGATCCGGACAGTTCTCCGCAAACGCCTGCACCGATTTATCCGTCACCTGACAAACACAGAGGGATAAAAACACATCAAAACAATGTCCTAAATTTTGCATACATATGTTTTCCATGTGACTCGCACTTTAACCAGTTCTGGTAAAAAAATAAAATAATAAATATAAATTATATATATATATATATAT